AACAATACTTATTACTGTTGATTTTTCTTGCATTGGAGATGATGATGATACTTTATTATCTTTAATATTTATGATTATATTGTATAATCTGGTAATAATATTATTGGCAATGATAACTGAACTAGTTATCAAAGTTAAAAATGGGATGAGGTCATATGATATTATCGAGTATTTATAGATGACCTTAATAAAAAGATAATAAAAATAATATGTTAATACTCATTCATACCTGGTTAAGTGATTCAAAGAGTTAATTAATTACATTTTCAATTACCAACCTGAATAATAAATTGTGGTACATCTTCTGACCAAAGAAACGATGCGTTTTTGAATAAGTTTTGTAATCCTCTATTTCTTCTAGATAAATCTCGATCATTTTATCGAAATCTTCAGACGTGGCACTCGTATATTCCAAACTACATTTCTTGTAAAGTTTAAACAATTCCAAACAATTATCATAATTCTAGTATTAATAATTTATGAAATAAACATTCCCTTTGCTGATCGATCATCGATTAAACTCACTCACTCTTACGAATTCTACTTTTTTGTACATTACAAAATATATTAATATATTAAAATAATAATTTAATAATAAAAAACAAACATGGCAGATGAAATTCCAATATTATTACAAGAGCATTGTCAGGTATATTTATATGTATTAATATTAATTATATATGTGATATGACTATTAAAAAAGTCTATTTAAATTGATGAATATGTTAGCTTCAAGAACTTGGTGTTAATCCAGCAAGTATATCATTCAGTTGGTTAACAATAGAATCTGATCGCTTTATTACTATACATGAATCAATTGGAGGTCAAAGTCAAGTTGTAATTATTGATTTAAATAACGCTCAAAATATTTTGGCCAATTGCTGCGGATTCTGCAATAATGCATCCTAAAATGAAAATTCTTGCTTTGAAAGGTTGACACTTGATCAACTTTGTAGTCGATTTGAAAAATAAACAAACCTCTTAAATATGTGATGGCAAATCAATTAATTTGAATATCAAACAATTTTTTAATAGCTCAACGGTCATTACAAATATTTAACCTTGAGGCTAAAGCTAAAATAAAATCTCATACATTGGATGAAGATATTGTATTTTGGAAATGGGTTAATGATAAAACAATTGGACTTGTTACACAAAAAGCTATTTGTCACTGGACATTAGAAGACCTCCACATCTCCAGCTAAAATTTTCAACCGACATTTGAATCTAAATGATACACAAATTATCAATTATCGTGTAAATTCAAATGATAAATGGATGGCTCTGATTGGAATAAAATCTAAAGTTAGTATATATATTTTTATATAATGCAAGCTCAAAGACAATTTTTGTCATTGCAGAACATGAGCCCACTAATGGCATTATTTGAGTTAATAGAAAAGGCCAAGTATGTTTTGTTTTTAATAACAATACTAAAATATTACAATAAAAATATAATACAAAGACACACTTTTTGCGCCATTAAAAATCTTTATTTATATTTTATCTGTGACTGTTGATGAAACAAAAATTATCCATTATATTAAGGACATATATAATGATAAACCCGACATTGTTATCAGTATATATAACTACAAGGTGTAATTTGAAAGGTGCCGTAGATATTATTTACGAAAATTCACTAGTTTATACTCATCTGGAAATTACACTGAGGCTGCAATTCTTGCTGCTAATTCACCACACGTAAGTTTATCATCAAGCCTTTTTTAAATTGCTCTTACGATTTACCAATTGATATATCACCAACATTTGTTGTATCTTGACTAAATTCTAGGGATTCCTTCTCTCAACCATTTTTCTAATAATTCATTTTTACTTTGTGTCATAACAGGTCGTGCCGATTCCAATGATTCTTGCTTATTGAGACTACCATTCTCCAACAAAACAGTGAAATATTGTTCAAATAGTAACTCTTTATCAGAAGAAACATTAACAATAACTTTTAAAAGATCGATTGTTCTTTGTGAGAGAAGATAAGGTATAATAATAATAATTACCATTATTATTATTTGAATTTTTTTAATTCTATAATCTGCTTAATTTACATTTTTATTGTAGATCCATTGCAGTGGAACTTGGTGATTATGTTTGATTTAACATTAGTGCTATCTATTTACCTTCGTGCCAATATTTCTATTAAGGTAAGAAAGGAAAGCACTGATTCATATATTTTTGATTTTTAACTTTAAAATTAAACCTTGTTTTTTTTTTATTCTCACAATTAGGGTTTTATCGAAAAAAATGAATTTGCAAAAATAACTGTTTAGGGAAAAAAGGTTGGATTCCAACCAGATTATTCTTCTCTTTTGCAAAAAATTATGAGAATGAATCCTGACAAAGGTGAAGAATTGGCTACTGCATTAACAAACGATGAAAATGGACCTTTGGTTGATATTGAAAAAGTATATAGACAGCTCATTTACATTTACAATTACAAGTATTATAAATATTTAGTCAATTATATTTTAGATCATTGATATATTTATATCAAAAATATGATTCAACAATCCACATCATTTCTTCTTGATGCTTTGAAAGGCAACAAGCCAGAACATGGACATCTTCAAACTCATTTACTTGAAATGAATTTATTACATGCTCCTCAAGTAGCAGATGCTATTCTTGGCAACAATATTTTTACTCATTATGATAAACCTACAATTGCACATCTATGTGAAAAAACTGGATCATTTCAAAGGATATGTATGGCGATTTATTTATTACAGCTTTGTTATTACGATGGTTGTTAATTATTGTTATTATTAATTGTAAATTAATGTACATCTATTTAGGCTTTAGAACTTTATGATGATGTCAATGATATTAAACGTATAATTACGCATGCCCATGCCTTACCTCCTAATGTAAAATTAGTTTCTTAATTATTTATCCCTTCTTATAATCTTTCACTCTTTATTAATTCATGTATAATTTTTTAACATTTTAACTAGTTCATTGTCAGCTATTTTGGAAATCTTTCAGTTGACAATTCACTTGATTGTTTAAAAGAAATGCTCAAAGCCAATATTAGACAAAATTTACAAATAGTAATACAAATTGCTACAAAATATTCAGAACAATTACGACCATCAAATTTGATTCAATTATTTGAATCTCTCAAGTCATGCGAGAGTATTTGTTTACAAGAATAGTTGTCTCGTTTTATCTTCTTTTCCATGCAAATATGTGGTTATATTTTTAACATCTCATATACCATTGTTAGATCTTTATTATTATCTCGGTTCAATTGTTAACATTAGCACTGATCCTGATGTACATTTTAAATACATTCAGGCAACTGTTAAAACAGAACAGAATAAAGAAGTCGAAAGGATATGTCGTGAAAGTCATATTATGACTCAGAAAAAGTTAAAAACTTTTTGAAAGTAAGCTTTTTTTGGAGTATTTTTTTCCTAACCATAAATATACCATAAACATCACTCACTCAAACGTATATATCTTTACCCATGAAATTTTTGTAGGAAGTTAAATTGCAAGATCAACTCCCATTGATTATTGTCTGTGATAGATTTGATTATGTGCATGATTTAGTTTTATATTTGTATCAACAAAATTTAACAAAATATATTGAAGTATATGTTCAGAAAATTAATTCAGCACGTACTCCAGCTGTCGTTGGTGGTTTATTAGATGTTGATTGTGATGAAAATACTATAAAAAATTTATTGATGTCAGTTACTGGGACTGTTCTTATTATCAACTTATTCAAGAAGTTGAAAAAAGAAATCGTCTTAAATTGTTATTACCATGGTTGGAGTTACATGCTAAAGAAGGAAATCAAGATCCTAAACTTTTACAATGCTTTGGCTAAAATTCGTATCGATAATAATGTTGATCCAGAAAAATTTCTTCGAGAGGATACAGTATGTATATTTATTTTATTTTCGTAAATAATATTTTTTTTTACACAATCTCAGATAATAATATAATTCTTTTTTGATAGCATTATGATTCAATGGTTGTTGGAAAATACTGTGAAAAACGTGATTCTCATCTTGCTTTCGTTGCTTATCAACGTGGACAATGTGATTTTGAACTTGTTAGGGTAACAAATGAAAATATTATGTTTAAACATCAAGCTCGTTATTTGGTGAAACGTCGTAATCCTCAACTTTGGGCACATGTGTTAGATGGTAACAATATGCATCGTACTAGTTTAACTGAACAGGTATAGTAGAATACTATAATAATTATTTATTCCATTGGAATAAAATATTTTTTTTAATGATTACACACACATTCATATGTTAATTGTTTTTTTTTGGAAAACAAAGGTCAATGCTGTTGTTTTGTCAGAAACTACCGACCCGGAAGATGTTTCTGCCACAGTGAAAGTTTTATGGCTGCAGATTTACAATTGGAGCTTATGGGATTATTAGAAAAACTTATTTTTGAAAATACAACATTTAATGATCAAAAAACACTTCAAATTTTACTTATTCTTACAGCTATTAAAGTAATCTAATTAATATTTTTTTTTGCTTTATAAATATTTATATTTATATTAACAACATATATTTATATTTATTTATATATATACACACGTATATACATAAAGGCTGACAAAACCAAAGTAATGAGCTTTGTTAATAAACTCAATAACTTCGACACTCCTGAAGCTGCAGATATTGCTATAAAAACTAGTTTATATGAAGAAGCATTTGCTATCTACAAAAAATGTAATGAACACATAAATGCTATAAACATGTTGGTGGAACATATCGCTAGTCTTGACCGTGCAGCTAAATTTGCTGAAAAATGTGACATAATTGAAGTTTGGAGTAGGTTGGCTAAAGCACAAATTACTGGTATAAGAATTAATGATTCAATCGATATGTAGTATTTTATTCGAAAAAATCCATTTCAAAGCAACCATTAATTTCTGAGCTAATGTTTTTTTTTTAAAATAAAATTTTTTTCTCCAGATCCTTATATTCATGCTGATGACCCAAGTAATTTTTTAGAAATTATCAGTATAGTATCACAAACTGAAAAATATGAAGATCTTGTAAAATATTTGCAAATGTGTTGTAAGAAATTGCATGAACCTATAGTCGACAATGAACTTCTTTTTGCATATGCAAAACTGAAAAACTCCATGATCTTGAGGAATTATTGAATATACCAAATGTTGCACAAATTCAAATTATTGGTGAACGTTGCTATGAAGATGATCTTTATGAATCAAATGAGCTTAAAGTTGATCCAGGTGTATATACACTTTTAGTAGTGAAAGTAGTTATTATAAAATCATCATATCTATTGTAGACTTAACATTAATATTAATAAACTTACGCTTGTTACAAAATGTTTAATAGTGATGATGATAATGATGAATATGAAGTAAAACAAAAATGATAAAACATCACTAGACTTTATAATAATATAATAAAATTATCTACAAAAAAGTAAAAAGTGGAATCACTTATGTTAACATGAAACCTTATACTTTGTTTCAAATATAACCTACCAAAACCAAACTGATCAAATTGATCAAGTTTTACTGAAATATAAAGAAAAATTAAAGCAATATATCAATGTAAAAAAAAGCAAGTCATAAATTAAATACTCTGGGTGAAAAACTTGATTTAAAATTATTACCTAATGATTTTGATACAGCACATCCATCAAAAAAAAAAAAAAAGATTTATGTGATAATTGTGACAAACCATTTGATACAAACTTTCCAGATACTGGTGGATGTGTATTAATTTGTGTTCATAGTTATCATTATGATGTTACAAAGATTTGGAAAAAAGTTGTATATATTGAATGGAATTTTACAAAAAAAGATCCTTTAAAAATGTTACTCCTTTTGTATAAAAATTAAAAATCTGACAATATAGTTGAGCCAGAAGATAACGAAGCTAATGAAAATGAAGAAGTTGAAGATAATTCAATTAATATAAACAAAGATCATGTATATAACTTATTTTTTAATTTTAAAAATAAAATAACAAATACAGTTTATTCTCCTATAATGGACCATGTTAGCACTAGCATGTTTGTTATATAGAGAATCTATTATAGACATAATTTATTATTATATAAATTCTCAGTCTGTTATTCCATTATACTGTTGTATTAGAGAATGAATTGTATTTAATTAATTAAAAAATATAGAATGATTTAATGCATTACTATAAATTTAGAAAAAATTCCTTACTAATAACACTTTATGGGTATTGAGGTTATCTTGATGAGATTGTAATTAACCATACTCCCCTCTTTATTCCATATCTAATTATATGGTTTTTTTAAAAGTGCAATAACAAAAAAAAAGTAAAAAAAAAAATTTCTTTGAAAAGTAAAATTACTATATAAATCAAGTCACTTCTAATGAAACTTCATGAATATATCAACATTATCTTAAGAATTATTACACCAAAAAATTTTGTGTCTATTGAAAATGTGATTTTACAATATGAACTCATTTTAAAATTATGTAGTTACACTTCATGATTCCAAAGTGACAAATATGATAAAACAAACTTCCACTATGCTAAAAAATCCCAAATCTTGATTTTTTTATCAATTCACTAATTTTTGACAATCATCAAATTTCATTGTAAAAGGTTTAAGTCCTCTCCAATTCTTTATTAGATTATCAAAAGAATTGACATTAATAGTAGAAAACTTACAAGGAAGCATTATTGATTTTAATTTTTTTGGTAATGTTTGATTTAATACTGAAAGTATTTTATCACCATCTAATACATATGTGTAATCACTTTTAAGTATAATGCTTTCTAATTTAATACAACTATTGAATACTTCTGTTAACTCCTGGTTTACTTCACCATTATAAATTATTGATAAGTTTATTAGATTTTTACAAAATTGTGCAATTGATTGAAATAGCTTTCCCAAAAATTCATTGTCATTTGGAAAACCACCAACATCCAAATATTTAAGAGTTTTTCCATTGATGCTAATAAAATTAGGCAAGTCTGATATAAATTGTTGCCTACCAAAATGTAAGCTCACAGATTCAATATTTGGCAGTGAAATATTTTTCATCCATCTTGTTTTTTCATAACATAATGATAAAGTCCTTAAATTGTTAAATGTTGGTAATAATATATGATCTATATTATTTGGTTTATTACTTGAATAATAAATTATTGATTGTGAATGTGTGAGAATTGCATTTTTGAAATTATCTGATAAAGGCTGACTAAAGTATAAATGCATGGTTAATTGCTTTATTTGATTTTGTGCATTAATTAGTTGAGTCAGACTATCTTGAAGTTTATTGTTGCTGCATGAACCATATATTCCTAATGATTGAATACATTTACAAATATTTGCTAATTTATCAATAAATTCATTACTAATATGATTATAAAAAACTAATTTATTAAGATTCTGAAAACTATTAACAAATCTATCATAATTATTTAATGGATAAGAAGCCATATTGAAAGTACTAAACTCTCTAATAACTGCTGAATGATCTAAAATAAAGTTTACTAATCTATTTTGTAAAATACCTAACTTGTAAATGTTTGTCAGCAATTGAGGATTATAATAATAATGACTGAAATAAAGTCTAGTACAAAATCTAGCATAATTATATAATGGTGATTTATCCAATAGCTCAAAAGTCAATTTAATGTTATTTCTTGTTAAGAAATACTTGTCTTCTTCCAATAAGCAATTGATTATTACTTTGATGCTGTTTTTAGAATAAAATGGATTTTTCCATAAAATTGGAATATTAACATTGTGCCATTGTTTATTGACAAGAACGCAAGAATATAATGTTTTATAATCATCATCATTGTATTTAAATATTTCAGTTAAAAGCTCAAGTGGTAAAGTCATTTGTTAACTTTCTTTTGCTCTTAAGAAAAAAAATCAATTTTATTTATTTGTTGTACAAATAAAACGATTTATTTTTTCCCAACCAATTAAAATCAAATAATATAATATTTTTGAATTTTATTATATTCCTCAAATTCTTCAAAAGAATTGACATTAATAATAGCAACTTGCAAGGAAGCATTATTGAGTTTAATTTGATTGATAATGTTTGATTTAGCACTGAAAGTATTTTCAATTAAATTCGCTGATAAAATAATTTCAGTGATTCGTATTTGTGTAATTCAAATATTCGAATTAGAAATTTATGACTAGAATTTAATTTTTATTGGTTTTTAAACTATTATGTTTGTATTGTTTGCATGAAGATATTGAAAACAAATATCCAGAAAGCCAGCTGATGCTATGTTGGTGCAAATCTTATTATTAAGTATATTCAGAATCACCATTACTATATTTATTCATGTAAATTAATTTGTTAATAATGATATACTTTTATTATTTATTTATTTAAAGGTAGTTTAAGGATACTGACTGCAACTTTGATGATGGTTGTAACCACCTTTACATCATATACAAATGATTGCAACACTTAGTTGTAACTGCCTTTGCAACAACTTTGTTGGATTGCAGCATGGAGCACTAAAGTAGTTTGGTATGGAAATGTAAGCATAAAACTCCAAATAAATTATTTTGTATTATTTACAATGGTGGCTATTGATTTCAATATATTAATCAATATTTATTTTTACTATATGGATTTTGTATGTATCCTTTATTTATTATTTAACAGAATTGGCAAGGAAATTTATATACTTAGTTGTAACTGCCTTTGCAACAACTTTGTTGGATTGCAGCATGGAGCACTAAAGTAGTTTGGTATGGAAATGTAAGCATAAAACTCTAAATAAATTATTTTGTATTAATCATTATTTATTTTTACTATATGGATTTTGTATGTATCCTTTATTTATTATTTAATAGAATTGGCAAGGAAATTTATATGGCATTATTTAAATTTTAAAATGAAGTATTTTGTTCTGATGAATGGCAGCTTAATAAGTTATTTAATAATGGAATAAAAATCATTATTAATATAATAATATGCTATATATTAGTTAAATAGCATCTCTGTCATTGCTTGATCTTGGTTAAACTTCTAGAAAAGTTAAAAATGCACATATTATATTAATTTGGAAATTATATGACCAATTAATAAAGCTCCCGCCATGTTTTTCTTTTCCTAAATATAATAAAGATCATTATTTTTTATTCAACGACAGAATTTAGCCAATTAGAATTTCTTTTCATTACGTCGATCATTACAGGGTATTATCCCTGGTTGAATTTAGCCAATCAGAATTTCTTCTAGAATTTTTCATACAGTCAGTCGATCATTACGGTATTTAGTATTTCCATCTATGGAAATATCCCTGACTGAAATAACGAGATATTTTAAAAAAACTTCATGTGACACGAATTTCGAGTTTATTTTCACATATAGAAAATCAATTGGTGTGACATGCCTGTGACTAATATAATAATAAGTTGTAACGTTTCGTATTACTGTGCCACATTACATATTCGCAATTAAGACGAAAAAGAACTGTTACAATCTCTTTCCAATCTTCTCTTT